GCTTTTCAGACAAGGAACTCGCTCAAGTTAACTTCAGATCGGGACTCACAAGCCTCTTTCCCCGTCCTGATTCGAATGAGGGACTCGATTCCTGAAAAGCTGACTTTCTAACGTGAGCACTGACAAGGCTGCTTCTGGTTGCCTCCTCGGGTCCCACGCCAATGAAGGAGAGAAGATGGCGTGGAGGAAATACGAATGGGTGTGGCCGTGGGGCTGGGGCAGTGGGACTCCCAGCATCTTCTGCAGCCGGCACAGCGCTCAGGTCCTGTGTGCATGTCTGTAGAGACAGGTGACCTGGGTGCAGCCGGTCCCTTCCCAGCCCTGCCCAGCCCTGCCCAGGCTTTGGGGCCTTGGCTACGCAGGGAGGTGACTCTCCCCTGTGGCATGCAAACTTCCTCATTTCTTCTTCTCAGCCTGCAGGTCGCTTGGCTGAAATTCTCCTGTAGAATTTGCTCAGAGAACTAGTCATGACCTTAACCGACGGCACATGTTCCAGGATTTTTTTTTTTTTTCCTACCAGCAACTGGTTTGGGGAACAAAGCCTGGGCATAGACTTCCCGACCCTGCTCCAGGCCTGTGCCCTGGGTTGTGGGGCTCTGCTGGCTTACAGATGTTCTAGTCCGACCTCTGCCCCTGTCTTCACAGGGCATTGTCTGTGCCCAAATGTCCCCAACTCAAAAACAGGGTGATATTAAGCTAGGGTTAAATGTTGCCATTCGCGGGCTCAGGGTGCTGCAGGGGCCGGGGGGCACTCCGTGAGGCTCAGGCCTCAGACAGGGACAGCCCCATGGAAGGCCCGTCCTGTGAAGAGGGACACTGAGCAGCCAGCAGCCCCCAGGCCCCACCCCCCTCTGCGGCCCCAGCAGCCAGTGCTCTGTCTGTCCCAACAGTGCATGAGGGTAACAAAGCAAGGCCACGTCCTCCACAACAAGAAAGAGGAGGAAGTGAGGGAGGCAGATGCACGGAGGTGGACACCAGGGACGGTCCTGCTCCTCGTGGTCCTCAGAGGCCCCGAGGCAGGGAGTGCAGCGCCAGCCTGGAGCCCTGTGGGCCACGAGCAGGTGACACCTAATGAAATTGTCAGAGGACATGGCGGAGTGAGGGGCGAAGGCTGGCTTGGGGTAACTCCGGGAATGATCTGAGGGTCAGACACGTCCCTGGGGACCGGGGTTCAGGAAGGGGGTTTAGGAGCCGTGAGCTCGCTGCGTGGCCCTGGAGGGTCCCTTGGATGCTCCTAGTTTGGGGCCAGGACTCAGCATGTGTTGACCCCCTGAAGGGTCTACAGGACACAGGCGTGGATAAGAGGCACACGGTGCGTGACCCATCCCCCCAAGGTCCTTACAGAGGCAAGTCTCTAATGGTTTTCCCAAAGTCGGGGTTGCTGGCCGCCGTGTGGCTGCTGTCCTTTAACTGGTGCGTTTCAGACGCTCTCATGACCACGTAGCGCTGGGAGCCTGGAAGGACAGAGGCGTCAGCGAGAGGCCGGGACCCGAGGCTCACCTGAGGCCCTGCCCTTCCCGGGTCTGGGAGCATCCAGCAGACAGAGGGATGGGACACACATCCAGTGGGCACGCACCACGCTGGCCGGCTGGCAGGGAACAGGAGGCGGGACAGCCAATGAAACCACCTGGGACCAGAGGGAAAAGAAAGGGGTGCTCCCCACCCCCCGCTGAAATGGGCGTCTTCTGCGGCCCCTGAGCAGGTGGGGCTGCAGAGCTGGATGAGACCCAGACTCTCCTGTACCCCTCAGTGTCCCAAACGACCGGGATGGAGGAGGAGCAGGGCTTGGCACACTGGGGGTGCACTCACCGGGCAGCTGCCGCGGGTAGCCGAGGATGGGAATCGCAATCAGGGAGGCGGCAGCACCAGCGCCCAGGAAGCCCACCCACCAGGCGCCGACCCACAGTGGGCTCTCGGTGGTCAGCTCCGTCCTGTGGGGAGAGGCACCCGGGCTCAGCATCCCGGCCACACGTGTCCAGGGCACATGAGCAGGGCGTCCCTCTGCCTGCTGGCCAGTGCAGGCCCGGGGGAGGGTGTCGAGAGCGAGGGCACAAGCCCCACCTACCTCCTGCACTCTTTGCACAGAACATGCACATGTGACACCCAATTTAGTCAACCTGAGGCCAGAAGTGGCATTTGTACCAGGTCAGAGCACTAGAAACCTTCACAAGAGATGGGCCATCTGCAGAGAAAGTCCAAGGTGTAGCTAGCGGTGCCCACCATGCGTCTCGGCAGATCTTAGGAAAACCATCCCAGATGGGTGATGCCCGTGGAGCAAGGGCCAGCCTCCAGAGCCCCGCTCAGCCGGGAGGTCACAGCTCCTTCCTTCTTCCCACCCTCTCAGCCTGTCTCTTTCTCTCTTCTCTCTCTTTCTCTCTCTCCTGCTCAAATTTACAAAAACTAGTATCACAAACAAGAGATACAAGGAAATGGAAGAAATGCAACACGACATAAGAAGAAATACAGATTTGGTCTCTGCCACGGTTCCTGGCACAGAACTCCTTAATTCCTTGCAATTTCCTGAGTGATAAGAGTGTCTTCTTTTCTAACGCAGCCAGAAAGACCAACCGTGACATTAGCTAGTTGGAACTTTTAGCCTGACTGCCAGGCCTCCAGGGAGGTTGTTGACCACCGATGGCCAATGATCTAATCAATCACACCTAAGGAAGGAGACCTCCATAAAAACCTGATGGAAGGGATTCAGAGAGGTTCTGGGTGGTGAGAGCCCCTGGGGACTGGCGCTGGGGACCCACGACTTGTGGTTGGCATCTTTAGTGGGGGGCGGTCAGTGGGACTGAGCCCTTGCCCTGTGGGGTCTGTGCTGAGCTGGGAGTCACTGTCAGAACTGGGTTGAATTTGGAACACTGGCTGGTATCCAGGGAGAACTGGGGAATTGCTTAGTGTGGAAAAATCCACACAAAAGAATCGGATATTGGCAGCAGGAAAATCCACTCTCAGTTCTGCAAAGGGCATCCGAGAACTTGTGGCCAGGTTGCACGTGGCTCCAGGAAGCCACCTGGCCATCCTGTCCCCTCCCGCAGGCCTGCTCTCAAAGCCACCCACAGACCCCCAGGTATGCCAGAGCAAGGTCGGCTCTGGTTCCCCCCTGCTGGGACCATGGCCCTCGACCACTGAGGACCCCACGCTGTGGGCACGCGGGTCCTCCTGCCTGGATGGCGTGGCGACTTCTCTGTGAGGGCAGGACCGAGCCCAGGTCACTCACCGTTGGCCTATTTCTGTGTAAATGTTCAGCAGGGCGCCTCCAATCAGGTAGCCAGCTGCGGGGCCGAGGATGGCCGCGGTGTAAAAGATGGCTGGAAGGGAAGCAGAGCCGTTGGGGGGGCTGCCATGCCCACTCCCTGTGTGGGGCACTCCGAATATGCACCTGTCTGCCCCCCCCGCCCAGGGAGAGGCCTCTTTAAATCAGGGTTTTCATCTGTGCAGCCTCCACTGAATCTGAATTCCGGTTGGCATCAACTTTTTAAGGGGATTTAAAAAAATTCCTCCTAGGGCCAGCGGCAGGTGCCATTGGGACTCTGCCCCTCGGAAGAGCAAAGGTCTGGAGAGCCTTGCGGTGCAGGATGAGGCCACATCAGTGCAGCACCACGGCCCCGCCCCCCGGAAACGGGGCCACAGGTGCAGCAAGAGCCCTGGGAGGCCGGGCAGGTGAGACGCCTCCTCGCTGCAGGGACGTGGCCCCAATGCCCGCTTTGTTCCCAGGGTGGCAGCCGCTAAGTGACAGATGAACAGAGCGCCAGGTGGAAGTAAGGAAACTTGAGGTCAGCTAACAGTCTGGCCAGGCTGCTGGGGTGCCAGCCGGCCTCTGAGTGCCAGCCTCGCCTCGCCCGAGGGACGGTGGAAGCGGGCACGTGAGGCTAAAGCCTTGGAAATCTCATCTACAGGTAGACATGGCGGCCTGGGGGTGGGGGCGGGAGGCTCTGGCCCAGCCCCTGTGGGCAGCCTGGCTGACCGTGGCATGAGCGGCCCTGTGCCTAGTGACTCAGTGTGCTCAGGACCCCTCAGGACGCACCTGGGGGGTCAGGCTGAGGTCAGCCAGCACCACCTCCCTCACCCGAGACGCTCCAGGCCAAATGAAGGCCAACCCTCACTTGCCACCTCACCTGGGAGCACCTGGAGCCACACGTGTCCATGTGTGGCCAACAGGGAAATGCACATAAGGGCTCAGATGGGGCCAGGCCAGTGTCGGCCGTTGTCACGCTTCGCTGCCCCATCCCCTCGCCGGCCCCACTCACCGATGTAGACGGGTGAGTAGCTGGACTTGACATTCTCATCCAGGTAGGTGACGCCCAGCGTGTAGAGTGGCGTGGCACCCACACCGTGTAGGAACTGGCCCAGCATGAAGACCAGCCGGTAGCTGGACAGGCCCGAGACGCTGTCCCCACACGCCACACTGCGGTTGGCTGGGCATGTCCCAACGCCCTGGTCCAGCTCCACCTGGTAGGAGCCGGCGGTGAAGTGGGGCAGCGCGAACACCAACGAGCCGGCCCCCATGACCAGCATGCCCCAGCCCAGCCAGCGGGGCTTGTGTCCGCTGCCCCCGAAGTAGCTGACGAAGGTGAGGCAGACGCAGGCGGCCAGGTCATAGCTGCTGGCGATGAGGCCACTCTGGTAGCTGTGCAGGTCAAACCGGCGCTCAATGGAGGTGATGACGGTGTTGATGAAGCCGTTCACGGTCATGCCCTGCAGGAAGGAGGCCACGCTCAGGAACAGCAGGAAGCCCCGTGGCGTGTTGAAGGCCTGCAGGCACTTGGGGGTGAAGGTCCGCCAGCCACACTCCGTGCTCTGTGGCCCCGCCGACATGTAGCGCACCTCGCGGGCTGCCCGGGGGCCACGCTTCTCTGCCTGCAGCTCGCACAGCGGCTGGCTGCTGGAGTCCAGGGGACTGTGGACCGCTGAACGCAGGGCACCACGGCTCAGGGACGAGCCCAGGGACGCCCGCCTGCTGGGGGGAGTGCAGTCACATCCATCCTCCAGGGCCAATGGTGGGCTGGGGAAAACCAGCTGCGGCATCGAGGCGAAGGGCTTGTCCCCCATCATGTGCTGGGGCATTGCTGCCCAGGGTGTGGTAGTGAGATCAGTGGAATTTGTCAAACGGTATTCCAGTGGCCGGTTTGTTCTGTGAGAAGAATTTCTGGTGAGCGAACTTGCATTCACAGCTCAGCGAGAACGCGCCTGCACACCCGCCCGGTCCCTTGGGGGCAGCCGATGGCTTTGGCTGCCTAGTACCCCATCTGGTGGGTTCGACCCTCTCTGACCAGCCCCCCGCCCTGAATCCAGGGCCCCACCTGGACCCACACACTAAGGGCAGCACATCTCCAGCCAACAGCTCGGCTGGGGGTGGGCACGTCCTCTCCGGAAGGAGGCCTCACAGCAGAGCCGAGACCACAGGACGGGGGCAGAGGCTGTGCGAGCCCCTGGATCACCCTGACCACAGCGACCCCACCTCCTCTGCTTGGCTGGCTGAGCTGTGCGTTCTGCCACTTGCCGCTGACGGCACCTGAGAGATGCCCCCATGTAGGCACACTGTCCACACAGCTCAGCCTGATTTGTCCCTCAACCGCACACCCTGCTAGCTTTCTGAGCCCTTCGGTGTGAAGAAGAAATTCATCTTAGTCCTGAGCTTAGAAGGCAGGCATGGATAATGAAGAAGGGAGGGGAAACGCAGGGCCTCTTCCCCGGGCCCCAGGAGCACAGCAGCTCTGGGACCAGACCCGATGGGAACCCGCCAACAGGGATGGGAGCAGAAGCCCAGGAGGGGCCTCGCCCAGGTCCAGGAGGCAGTTTTGCATTTGGAGAGGTCTGGCAATGCCCGCCTGCCCCTGGCCCCCTCCTGAGGCGGCACAGTGACTCCCACACTCTGTGGATTGAGCCTCAGAGGCTGGCCACTCCGGGTCCCCCCACCATGACCTTCCCCTGCGCCTCAGCCTCCCCGCACAGCCATCTCACCCAAGGCAGAGGCATCAGCCAACTGACCTCTGCCACGCTCCTCTGAGCACCAGAAAACTGTGCCCTCTTAGCTAATTTAAACCTTGCCCCAGCCTCCTCTCTGGCCTTCCTCAGAGACGGGCAGTGGGTGCAAATGCCACTGGGCAGGGAGCACCCCACTTCACTGCTGTGTCTGAGCACCATCCTCATGGTGACATTACGCATTCCCAGGCCCTCTGTGCATGGCACTTGTGCACACCTGGACACTGCCCATCTTCCAGAAAGGGAAGTGGGCCCAGAGGGGTCAGCAACTTGCCCGGGGCCACACAACCAGCCGGTGGCAAGTAGGACTCAGCCCACAGTCTGGCCTCAGAGCCCACGTGTGCATCACAGCTGTTCTCACCGTCATTTTATTGACAGGGCTGTGACCAACGGAGTGACATTTACACACGGGGCCGGCTGTTTACTCTGGAGGCTGGTATTGCCAGGATATCAGCAGCCCTATCTGGAAGCTGTGGGTAGACTGCAGAAACCACCAGTCATTCCCTGGGGCCTGTTCCCGGTGCCGGCGTTTTATTTATAGTGCCACCGCCTCTGCGAGCTGGCACGCCAGGCTGGGCAGTGAGAGGGCTCGAAAGACAGGCCCAGGGAGAACAGTCAAAGCTTCCTGGAGGATGGGTCACGCACGTCCTCACGCGGCAGCGCTGCCCAAGCTGGCTGTCACTCAGATGACATCCAGCACACACAGTGGATGCAAGCACTCGGAGGGCTGTGGACAGCGTGGACGGTGACAAGCTCGAGCCCTGGGACAGGATGGCTCTGCCGCCCCCCGGCCCCGAAACTCGATGGGCTGCTGAAGCAGAACCATGGAGAAATACAGGGAGGGCGTGACGCTCCCGGAAATTCCCAGGTCCAGAGGCCCCTCTGGTAACGATGAGGTGTGTTCCTCGCTAGTCTCTTCCCCCAGTGCATGTACACACACAGCAACACATCAACTCGTGAGCGTGCACACATGACCGTCCGCACGTGCACACAGAGACCACAGGGCCCTGGAAGGAACCTGAGCCAGGCCGAGGGCCAGCGGGCGCGCAGAGAGGCCACCCAGTGGCCTGTGAGGCGTGGGGGTCAGTACTGGGCACTCAGGGATTATTGGTGGGGAGGGGGTGTTCCCAGTAAGTGATCTGCAGACTGAGGGCCACGATGCTGCCGCCCCCAGCCACCCTCTGCGCGCCTGGCCCCTCAGCTCTGGGCTCCGGGTGCGGCTCGCACAGCCAGAGGACCAGCCCTTGGCGGGGTTTAGGAGGCAGCCAGATTGTTAGCTTTCATCTTTAGGAATGTCCACAAAGAAACAGAGAACTTCCTACTTGGAAACAAAGCCACTGCAAAGCAGTACAGGAACACCAGTGGTGGGTGGTCCCATCAGCTCCAAGTCAGCAGTAAAGTTTTACCTGAACTGAAAGCTGAGTCTCTGACACACACAAGCAAAGCTCAGCCTAAAATCATACACATCACAGACATGTAACCCAGCAAACTGAAGATCCTGTTTCAGATGGGAAGACCCACAGCAGCCAAGGTGTGCAGTGGCTCCTGTCTCACCTGCGACCCCACCTCCCCCAACCCAGTCAGCCTTCCCTCAGCAGGCAGCTGTGCTCCTGGACTCTGAAGGCGGAGTCCTTTCTCTAAAAGGCTTGGGGCCTTATCAGCGCGTCTGGATCAGAAAGGGGGAGCAGGCCCTGGGTGACTCTGACTCGGGCTCTGAGTGCAAGGGGCGCAGGAGGAAATACGACCAACCGAGGATCCTGAGTGAGTGCCCGGGATTTCCAGCCAAGAGGAGGGGCCCTGTTCCTGAGCACTGTGGGGCGATTCCTCACACGCGTGGCCCGTCCGGGCCCCAGCTGAGCCCCTCCCATGCACACACAGACCCTCTTGGGTCAGGGTCCTTCGGCCCCACCTTATAGACCCAGACGCGTGCTACCCACAGCCCTATAAGGGAGGCCCTGTACCAGAGACCAAGTTTGCAGGTGCTCCGGCTACGTGATCCCAGAGCTGGTGGCGCTGCCTGGCATCCCCAGGGTCACCTGCCTGTCCTCTCCCTGCCGTTCTGTGGGGAGGAGAGCGGCGGCCGGGAGATGCAGGAAGCCCTCAAGAGGCCTCAGCCGGCTTGGTGAGCAGAATCCCTTCCTGTGTGAAGGAGGAAGCCCCCTCCTCCCGCTGCACAGCAAGGAGCCCACTGCAGGGTTAATCACATCCTCCAGCTGGGCCTGTCCCTGGTCAGGCATCAGGTAGGAAGCCGGAGTCTCTTGGTGAGGGCAGTGAGCAGGGAGGGCGATGTGGACCCTGCGCCTGGGGCTTCAGGGCTTCGGCGGGGAGGGCGAGGGTGCATGTGCATGCATGTGCACGTGTGTGCTCACGCGTGCTCACGTACGAAGGCTGTCTTAGGAGGAGGCATGGGCCTCTTCCGAGGTGCACACACTGCCCTGGTCCATCAGCTGCACCTTGAGGTGTCTATGCAGCCTGCTGTGAAGAAACCCAGGCCCACTCGCCTCCCCCACCCCTCCTCCTCACAGGCCCTTAGCTGCACTGGGACAAGTCAGCAGCCCTGGGGGGGGGGGGCTCGCCATAGCCCAGCCTGTGAGAACTGGATCCCACCTTCAGGAGAGGACTGAAGTGGGTTTCATGTTCTCACGCTTGTCCCTGCTCACTTAGCTCCTGAGGTGCTAATGCAGGCCGCCCTAATGTGCACATCACTCCATCTCCCAGTTGGAGGCTGTCTGCAAAGTGGAGCAGGTGGGAGACAGGGTTACTGGGAGGGATATTTTAAGCCTCCCGTGAGGCCTGGGGCTGGGGCGGGGCCAGCAGCGCCCCTCACTTATGAGCACTCCAGGCTCCATCCTGAACCCTGCGGGGAACTTGGCTTCAGGGGAGACAGGTTTCATTTCTTCTTTCCTTTTTACGTGCCAGCCAGTAAATTCCCTCCTTGCTGCCCCTGGTGGCTCTGAGGCTGGCAGCCACAACCCACCCCACCCCACTGGGTCATGTCCCACACCTGCCCCTGGCTCCCCTCAGCAGCCCCCACCCCCTCACTCCCTGGAACCCTCATCTTTGCCGCCGTGACCCCAGGGACCCTCCAGGCAGCTGTCGTCTGTCCCCTTCCAGACCTGCCCCGGTGTCCCTTCCTGAGTGGGTGACTGGAGGCAGTTTTCACTTCTTGAAGTTGAGGCTCAAAGCTGTTTACAAAGCAGACGTGACCCCCGCTGGCAGGGCCTGGGGCGGCCACAGCCCGGCCCACCCCAATCTGCAGAGTTGCTTTGCATGGAGGCCAACAATGTTGGATTGTCTGGGACAGACCCGGAAAGGCCCTCCCTCAGGAGTGTCCTGCTGTCTCAGCACGGACGGCCCTGGTCCTGCCCTTGTCCCTTGTCTGCCTGAGTGTGGGGAGGATTGGGGGGGGGGGTGTACCAGCTGGCTGCCTTTCCCACTCATAATGTTTGACCCATGGAGCTGAAAACATAACAAGCTGTCCAGGACCATAGAGAGGCAGAGCAGAGACACAGACAGGCTGCCTTGGAGCCAGGCAAGTACCCCAACCTCCAACAGGTCTCTGGCCTCTCTAACCTCAGTTTCCTCACTGGAATGGTTGGGGCGTCATGGGGGAGAGCCCCAGAGGTGAAGGACCCAGCCCCTCCTACTCAAAGTGGGTCCGGGCACCACTTGAAGCTCATGAGAAATGCAGACCCACAGAAGGGCCTTCATGGGACTCGGGGGTGCTGGGAAAAGCAGGCTCTGTCCGTGCGATAGGCTTGCCCAGGCACAGGCTGGGCACGGCCATTTCCAGGTGGCCTCCTAGGCCCATGGGTCCAACTACCAGGCCCGTGGTACCTGCCAACAACAAAATGCAAGGACTCCAGACAAGCCCAGGGTGGGGATGGGTGTCACCCTCAGCCCAGCAGGTCCCAAGCCCTCCGTGGCTCCAGCTGAGGGGCGATGCTTCAGGTACCCCCAAGGTTTGCTAGATAAGAAAGCCACTCAGAAAAGGCAGCCCCCATGGGCAAGGGTCTCACGTGGAGCCCGGCTCTTATGGAGGACAGGACCTACGTGAAGCCCCAGGAGCCCGTGACTCTTCGGACACCCACGAGCGAAGCCAGCGGGGCCTTGGTCAGCAAGCCCCACACTGTGCTTGGTATTTGGTGGGCCTCGCCTGGCCATGCTGTGAATGGCTTTTGCAAAAGACACGTGGTTTGTGAAAGCATCCACCTGCCCCCAGAAATGTGGTCCAGAAGGCTAATTCTGTGTAATGCTAGTGGAAACACGGCTGCACTGTGGCCGCTGAGGGGAAATGCGGGGTGTCTGAGGCCAGCAACAGGAAAAGTCCTCAACACCAGCCCACGCGGGGACACAAGCTGGGGTCCAGTACGCAGGCAGCCAGGCCAGTTTCCTCTGCCTCCTCCAGCACGGCCCTGGTCACCTGAGGCCTGAGCTGGCGCCCCCATCCCTGGCGGAATTCCAGCAGGCCTGTCAGATCACCTGTCGTGGTGGTGACTGGATCTGTCCCACAGTCGGCCCCGACACCCGCCATGACCACACCAGGCTACATAGGCAGCTGAATGGCCCAGAACAAAAGCAGTGCAAGGTTCTGAGGGTTACTGAAGGTGCCCTTCCAAAAACAGACACTGGGCTCTTTGCAGCGCCTGAGAACAAGAGACCACGTGACTGTAGACAGGGGACATTTTCATGGTCTCTGTCCACACCTCAGCTGGACAAAACGACGAGAAAGCAGGCGTACGGCCACACGAGTCCCCTGGGTCCCCTGCTGGGCCAGCTGACCCAGCCCAATCCCTCCTGTCCACCAGCGGCAGACTCTGGTCTGCCTACCTGCCTGTCACCCACAAGGAAGCCTGAGGGACTCAACCACGGTGGCAGCCACTCGCCCAGCACACGCATCCTCCAAGCCATGGCTTTATGCTGCTCAGCCATGTTGGCCTGGGAAAGGGACCAATACTCACGGAGACTTCTAGGTGCAGAGTATTGTAGAGACCGTGCTAAGCCCTGAAAAGTGAACTCCGATTTCACAACGAAGCCAGGGGCACTCAGGCCAACCGAGAACGCACCCCGCACTGTGGGTTTGTCGAGGCCAGGGTCCACCGAGGCCAGGAGAGCAGGACGTTGAGAGCTGAGTCCCCGCAGATCAGACGCTCTGACAGGAACAGGTCAGCCCCAAGACCCCCACTCCCCAGGCCATCATCCTGTCCGACTCCACGCCCAGCTTGTCCTGGTGGCAATGGGGAGGGACTTGGCTGGGGCCTGCTTGGCACCTGTTTCAGGAGCCACACCCAGGGAACCACAGATTAGGTCATAGCCACCCGGGAGGGAAGCAACCCCATGAAGAAGTTCCAGGTAGCACCTGCGGCCCTGCCCAGCAGGAAAGGACAGGTCCCCATGCAGGGCAGTCAGTGGTGTGGCGTCTGGCAAACGCTCCCCTGCGTCCCTCCGGCAGCACACGGGAAGCCTGGCTGTGTGGGCTCGCTTTCCGAGAGGTGTCCTCCCTGCTTCCAACTGCCACAGGCCTTGTCCCCTTAGCTGGGGCCCAATATTTTGGGACACTACTCTGTGTCAGATCTGCTCCCCCCCAAAGAACAGAGCTGTAAATGTCTCGGGTCACACAAACCTGGATTCAAACCTCTCCATCTTGGACTAGCTGCGTGACTGTGGGCAGGTCACTTAACCACTCGTGCCTTGGTTTACTGATCTGTAAAGTGGGAGCAACCGTGGCTGCCTCAGCGGTTGTGAGATGCTGCTCCAAGCCCTTAGCACAGGGCCCGGCACATTCTAAGTGCTCAGTACACAGCCGCTGTTGTCATTATTGCTGTTGTGGGTTCACACACAGAGCCAGCTAAAACCAGGTGCTTTCCGTCCTGAGGTCCACTTGCTCCGCCTGCACAGTGAAACCCGGAGCACCACCGCTCACAGCTCACCGAGTCCCAGCCTGCCCCCCAGAGTCAGCTTCTGATTAGAGAGGAAACCCAAGTTCTAAGCAGCAGGGGGGAGGAGCCCGGGCTGGACGCGGCCTCTTCCCTGTGGAAAACTACTGAGGGGCCTACAGGCGCCCACGATGCCGATGCCGGGTCCCACCGCCGCACGAGGGAGCGCCGGCACTCCGGGTGGCGGGGCCCGGGGGTCCAGGGCCAGCCGGCCTCCCCCCTCTAGGCACCGACCGCACTGCCCCAGCGGGCTCCCCACCCCGTCCCTCCCGGCAGAGGCTCGCTCCGCCGAGTGCAGGTCCCGGGGTCGGCCTCGCGTTTGCCCGTCTGGGGCCCAGTGTGTCCACCTCCCCCCACGAGGGTGGGTCCGCATCCTGGTCTCCATCCTTCCCCGCTCTCCCCCGGACCCGG